GGCATCCACAACATCTCTGGGCAACCTGTTCCAGTGCCTCACCACCCTCTCTGTGAAGAATTTTTTCCTGATGTCTAATCTAAATCTCCCTGCTTTCAATTTAAACCCATTACCCCTTGTCCTGTCACTACAGGCTCTTGTAAATGTCCCTTCCCAGCTTCCTTGTAGGCCCCCTTCAGGTACTGGAAGGCTGCTCTAAGATCTCCCCGGAGCCTCCTCTTCTCCAGGCTGAACAAGCCCAATTCTCTCAGCCTTTCTTCATAGGAGAGGTGCTCCAGCCCTCTGATCATCTTCATCCTCTGGACTCACTCCAACTGGTTGATATCCTTATGTTGAGGGCCCCAGGGCTGAATGCAGTACTCCAGGTGGGGTTTCACGAGAGCAGAGCAGAATAGAGGGGGAGAATCACTTCTCTTGACCTGCTGGCCACGCTGGCTTTGCTGCTGCTTTTAAGCCAGTGATTCCTCTGTTCAGCCTGTGGATGTGAACTGGGACATGGGTTTTTTTGTGATTATTTTCCTTCACACATTCAACAGTTTTATATAAGACTTCATGAGCCAAAGTCATTTTATATGGGGTGGGATTTATGAACTCATGACCACTGAAATTTGACTGCCCATGGAACTGTTATGGGAAAGAACTGAACCACTAGTTCTCAGATATCCAACCTGGACAAGATATTCCTAATTGCTCCAACTCTAGGACATGAGTGAACAAATGAACTGCAATAGGCGACGTGGAGGATTTTTATCACAGTTTTAATTTGACAAGTATTTTGAGTTGTTTCTGGGGTGTTTCATTGTTCTAGAGAAGGGGGATGATAATGAGGATGTGCTGTCTTGATTATCAGCAGTTGTAGCCCTTTACATGCTGCTGATTGTGTAACAAGACATTTGTATTGAGAGGGAGATAAAAAAACCTTTAAATTATAATGTCCTTTTTTAGTTAAGCAAACCCTAACCTTGCTGACACTTAAACATTGCTTGTGAACTGTTAATGAATATGACACTGAAAGTGTGGCAGCTGTATGGAAAAAGTTATCAGCCACTCATCTTACTCAGGAGTAAGAAACATCTTTGCTTTCAGCTATCATGGTTTTCTATCAGGATGGTACTCTTTCTCTATTACAACTTGTGGTTGGGTATTTTAAAATCGAATATCTGCCATTTCAGGGAGGGAAATATCAGTTTTTTGTGCTGTTGACAGTTTAATTTTTTTTTTCGTGATCCCTGTCCATTTCTCTAAGATAACATTCAATTTTAAGATAAACATGGCTAACACAGGCTATTTTATGAAGTTTGTATTAATTGGAAAAAAATTGCATATTGTTATTCAGGCATATTGTTGTTTCATGCATTCATGTTAGCTTCTTGCCTGCTACTTCTAACAGCAAGAAGAGAGAGACTGGTGATTGTAGTAATGACAACAGAAGAGGAGCCTCAGTCCATAGACTTGGATATAGTCTCTGATATTGACAATTCTATTTACTTGTGATGAAGCTAAAATTACAATCTTATTTATGAGCATGTTGTTCCTGAAAATTGAGAATACAAAATAGCTTTAATATTATCAGAACTGTAGTTTTCATTCTGCCAGGGATAAAATAAAAAATAGAATACTTCAGAGCCCAGTACCAGAGCATTCCAGATTCTAAAATATGAATTATTCTGTGGAGTACTGTATTTGAATTATTTGGAGTGCTTTGCTGTATTTCTTCCTGGGGGGGTGGAATTAAAGACAAAAAAGTCTTTTGCTGCCTTTTTGCTTATTCCGTGTTGTGTATATCTACTGTATCTTCACTCCATGCTGAGGCAACATTGTTTAAAGGACTGTTTTGAATGCCCATTAAAACTTCTGATGAAAGGCTTTAGTAGGTAATAAAGACTTCCCTTCAACTTTACTTTCTTTGTGATTAACCTGGGGCTAAGTCATAGCCCTGGAAGTTTTCTGTTTTTTCTCATACATTTTCTATAAGGTATAAGCCTTTATTGAAGAAAATTGATAAAGACAAATGATCTCATTTCCTTTTGACCGTTTAGAAATATAGTAGATTGTCTCAGTTGCAGTGATGATAAATGTTTTAGTTCTGCAATATACAAATACCAGTGCTTTCTGACTTCATACTAGTTTGATAGAAATGTAGATTAACAGACTCATGATGAATGTCTTCCAGAATAAAAGCAGGGGCTCCTCTCAAAAGTTGTGCTGGTTTTAGTTGGGACAGTTAATTTTCTTCACAGTAGCTAGTATGAGGCTATGTTTTGGATTTGCACTGAGAAGAATATTGATAACACTGGTGTTTGATAACACTAGTTGTTGCTGAGGAGTGTTTGGTGTTTGTACCAAGTCAGGGACTTTTTCGGTCTTGAGTGCCGACTTCTTTGCTACAGGAAGCTGGTAGGGGACACAGCCAGGACAGCTGACCCAAACTGACCAAAGGGGTATTTCATCCCATAAAACACCATGCTCAGTATATAAGTTGGGGGTGGGCTGGTAGCCCTGTTGGTTGGATTGTTGGCTTTCTCGTTTACTCTGTGTCTGAGTGATCTGTCTTGGGCTCTCTGGCTCTCATTACTCAGGGCCTAGCTGGGCATCGGTTGGTGGGTGGTG